TACAACTTAGCAACTTGGAAATTACAATTTGAAATTGATAAAGTCTAATGATCATATGGAAGAGCTTCTTTGTTAATCCACTTGGATTTAGGAGAGCTTATGGATGTTCTTGGATTTGTAGAAGTATGGGGTGATATTTGACTTTTCTTTGGGCATACCAACTCTGCTGATATGGAAGTTACTCTTTATGGGGAGGGATCATCCATAATGGTGGTATTTAAGGCGTTGTGTAAGCCTTTGGCTTGTATGAAGAAGGGATGTCTTCTATCCACAATAAGATTTATAGGACCAAGATCCATTGAATCTCCAATGTTTGACCTCTCCTTAACCAATATAGGATTTTCTTGAATCCCTTCACAGCCTTCTTGAATCATTCTTGGAATTTTCTCTTGAGCATCAGGAAATCTGCTAACTGGATGACATCGACCAAGGGAGAAGATGGAAATGCATATGCAAATGTATAAATGTACGAAATTGCAGGGGTATGCAAAAAATATTTTTTGGCTTTTGAGGGTATGGTGAAAATTTCATGGAGACGTAATGACATGCAGTCGTATGATAATGATAGACCTAAGCACACCCTATACGAGTTTAAGGATAGAAATCCCTACAAGCTATAGACTATGACACGAACAGAAGCCCTTCAAGTGACAGTTAAAATAAAACCCCTACAGGCTAGGGATTGTGATTTATAGAGAGACACCCTATTGGCTAGAGATTATGATATACAGAAGAAAAATCCTACATGTAACAGATAGAAGGTAACCCTTGCGGGTTTAGAGATGGTGACAAGATATCCTTAGTGGGTAGGTTCCTAGTTTCGTCCTATGCATATTATACCCTCCCTATAAGGTTGCTTCCTTAAGGGTATCGTGGATAACGCTAGAGGGAAAGGCACAAGGGCTTCCCTTAAGCGGAGCCTCTTTGTAGACTGAAACTTCCGTCTCTTAGGTCGTACAAGGTCTCACCATGAGATTTTGTTTTAGGGTTATACAAAGATTCATAGGTTTCATTCCAAAGTCCTATCCCCCAAAAGGCTAGCTCTTGGGACATATTCCTTTTTCGGAATTCCACCGACTCTAGGCGAAGTCGTCATAAAATTTCATAGGGATGATGTATCCACTTTGCCAATAGACGATCCTTCTTTCTAAGATTTTAAAACTTTCGAATTTAATAATCCCACCAACAAATAAAGAATGATAAATAATAAAGATAATATAACCATAAATAAATAAACATAATAAATAAATAGAAATAAAACAAAAAATAGGAAAACACCAAAAACCCTAAACCTAAAAAGAGATAAGCTTATAAACCCTAGGGTTAAGGCCCCAACAGAGTCGCCAACTGTCGTAACTGGCAAAAAATAACGAGTCGCCACCACTATTTTTTGTCCTAACGAAGGGTGAATAATAGAATAACTCTAAATTGATACAGAGATTCTATGTTCTTGATTCACTTTAAACGATGGGAAGGTGTTAGACACCCTTCACCTACCTTGTTCTCAAGGAAGTCCTAGGGTTTAGGTTAAAAGGGTAGGATAGGGCTTTAATTTTTTAATTAGGGGAACTCGCCACAGTTTTTAAGTCGTATGCCTACGTATCCTCTTATGAGGAATCATAGTCCCAATTCGTAGTTCGTAGTGTTTGGTTAGTTTTTTTATGGACTGTGGAAATATTTTGAATTAACCCTTGAACCAAGTCTGGGTTGAAAATAACAGAATCTTAGACGCAGTTCACAGTTAATATAAAATAGACTCACAATCCTTTTTGAAAATATCTTGATTTTTATATGTTAGTTGAAAAATTGTTAGTATTCGGTGGGTTAGCTATTTTAGAGTATAGGATGCAATGTGCAAAAATAGGTTTGAATGAGAAAAAGATTTAATGCAATTAGAAAAATATGGTTAGTATTTTAGAAAATATTTAATTAATAAAAAACTATTTTTTTAATTATTAAAAATATTGAATAAAAAAAATTCAATAATCATTTATTATTAGTTTTTATACAAGAAAAATATTTTAATGCAAATTATGCTAAAAAAAGTGATTATGTGACAAAAATAAAATAAAGAGAATAAGACAATAACATAAATAAAATTAATTAACTCAGGCTCAGGGGATGTAAAATGGAATTGTGTGGTGTATTTATTCAGACCCAAATGTACATCTGAGCCCAATTAGCTAGGGGGTATAAATTAGTGTTGAGTAGCAAAAATATGGGGTGTAAATAATAAGGGCCCAAACTCAGAAATTGAACTTGACCCAATTGCATAGGGAGGGGTGTATAATTAGTTTGATAGTAATTTTTGAGGTCTGAGTAGCAATATGTTTGAGATCTAATTTATTTCTAAATGAATCTAATTAACTTCTATAAGGTAAGAAATTAAATAAATATAATTAAGTTCTATAATAATAATGTAAAAAGAACAAACAAAAACAAAATTGAAAATAACTTACAAACAGAGAGAAAAATGAGTGTTTGTTCTTATGCTATTGTCTGTTCAAGACAACGGCCACAATATTGTTCACAATTGTTGATTCTCCAAATGATTGTTGATTCTCTAAATGATTGTTGATGAAATTTTTTTAGGTATTCTGTTCAAAACCCTAAAATTAACCAAAAGAGTTGCGTAGAAAGAATGTTTGTGAGATAGATAGAAAATTGTTGATGACAAATTATGGTGAAGAGAGCCTTATTTATAGAATTAGAAATTAGGTTAAAAACACCAAAAAGGAAATTATCCAACATAAAAAACCCATGTTTTGTAGATTCTATCTTGGTCAGCAAGCCTACAAACTCTAATCAATGAGAAATCAATTTTGTCAATATGCGACCCATCAGAAAGTGACAAATCATGTGATTTTGTTGTTTTTATATTTTATATGATTTTTGGATTATTTATTAATTAAAAATTGAAAAAAGTGAAAAATTTATTTTTGAGAATTTATTAATTAAAAACTACGAAAATAATTATTTAATAATAAAAAAAGTGATTTTTTTAGAAGATTTACACCAATTGAGACTTGATTGAAATTTGGACAAAATTATGAACCTAGACACTTTTGTGATATTTTCTCAATATTGTGATTGATATGGTGATTAATAAAAACTCATTTTTAAAGATTTCAATTATTTTTTAAATCTTGACTATTGAGTGTATAAAATCAAAGATTTAAAAAAAAAAATTTAAAATACTCTTAAAATAGAAAACGAAAATCATAATAAAATAATTGAAAAATGACTTTTTTTATCCTTTTTATTAAAAAACACACAAAATAATATAAATACCAAAAAGTAATGTTATGAGACTTGAACTCAAGACCTTTGACTTATAAGCTTTATTTTATTACCAATCATGCTATCTTATTCTATTCAAGACAAAAAGGCACATAGAAATATATGAAGGTAGGAAAATATTTTACTATTTTAAAAATACAAATAATTTAAAATAAATTATTATATATTTTAAATAAGCAAAAATAAATTTTTGTTTAACCAAATGTGAGTAATACCCAAAAAATTCATAAAGTCAAATTTAAAAATAATTTAAACATTTTAAAAATAGGATCGATAAATTTAAGGTATGACAGATGTATTTAAGATGTTTTTACGTAGTTAGATATAAATAGATGTAAGGAATCTATTTTTTTTGTAAACATTATTTTATACTTAGTTTTTTATCTTTATGTAAGGCATCCAATATTAAAATGTCAAATAATATCCACCTTTTTTCATATTTAAATGGAAAATAATTCAAATTGTTTCCTTTTTTGGTAAATAATATAATTCAGAATATTTGTTGTGGGGTTGTATCTTCACTTTTTAGGAATATTTTATTTTAGAATAGAAGAAAAATAGGAAAAGGAAATAGATAAAAGGACAAAATTTCTTTCATTTAAATTTCTTTCATTGTTCAGATTATGTTTCAAAAGGCTAATTTTTATTTTATGTTTTTTTATGTTATTTTAGAGTTCAATATTTTTACGAGAGTGATAGGTGTCTTTATGTTGTTTAATAAGTTAAGTGTTGTGGAATTTTTTATACCTCGACCTGGTTTTATAATGTGTGGTCATTTTTGGTGTTAAAATGGGAGCTTGACCTATACTTATCTACCTGAAGTTGATGAGTCTGACCTGTCCCAAAAAAAGATTTAGGAATATGAATATGAACTATGTTTGATCATATTGTTGCTTTTGTTTCACAAAACATGTTTAGCATTTTGAATACATTTATCTAGCTCTAAGAATTAGCTTCTCAATTAATTGTTATGTAGAATCTAAAGGATACTCTTCCATATAAAAGAAAACTATTTGATCATTGCTTATAGTAGTTCAGTTCTGCTCAAATAGACACTATACCAAATTTGGCTTTTAGCAGCACCCCTACGAAAGCGCTTTTAGGAAAAGCGCTGGCATAGGCTTCGCTAAAGACAAAATTAAAAAACACGCTAAAAAAGCGCTCTTATAGTGGGGGGGGGTATGAAAGCGCTTTTAAAAAGCGCTCTGGTAAGGGGGGGTATGAGAGCGCTTTTGAAAAGCGCTTTGGTAAGGGGGGGTATGAGAGCGCTTTTGAAAAGCGCTTTGGTAAGGGGGTATGAGAGCGCTTTGGTAAGGGGGTATGAGAGCGCTTTTCAAAAGCGCTCTGGTAGGGGGTGGGGTACAAGAGCGCTTTACCCTTAAAAGCGCTGGTATAGCTACATCTACTAAGGCGCTTTTCAAAAGCGCTTTGATAGCCTTTTTAAAATTAAAATTTTTAAAAACAAAATTATACTAACGCGTTTCATAATCCACCCATTTCCAAATCCCTAAACGCGTTCTTCTTCCAAATCCCTAATTTCTGCTGAAAACGCACAAAATTATCTTGCATTCTCAGAAACGCTAATCATCGTCTTCCATCTTTGCTTGCATCTTGTCTTCAACTCTTTGCTTGCGTGGTATTGCTTTTACTTCAAAGACCGGACATATCTTCTTATAGCAGGTATCGAACTTTGATTCTGTCTAACTTCCCTCTAACTCAGTTCCACCATGATTAAGCTCAAGATATGATGGAAAGTTTGAGTCTTTCAGAGTGGAAGAACAAGTAGCCCTTGTTGATTTTCTAGGAGAATTTCTAGAACCCTTAAAACTAGTAGTTTTTGTTAATGTTCTAACCAAACTCAAACTAGGTTTTTTACATGAATAATCACTAGAAAATTTTGTATCAAGATTCTTAGAAACAGAGCAAGATTGAGTTTTTCTAAGACTTACATGAAAAAGTTCCTTTTTTGATTGTGAACTACTTGTGTGCTTCATGTAATTTGGTGAACCATCTTTTGTTGTTGTTGTTTTTGTTGAAATTGGTGTTGATTGAAGTTGAAGAGTCTCAAGATGAGAGAGTTTGATTGAGTTTGATATCTTCATTTTCTTAGAAAGTTTACTTTTATCATCTTGGTTTTGTTGATGAGAAGATGAAGAAGATAGTTTCATGTTTGTGGGAAATTTGTCAAATTTAACATGTTGTGTTTGGATACTAAGATTGTTTGGGACCTTTCTTTGAACCATTTTTCAAGAAAGGGGGGAAGATTTTGTGGTGGTTTTGGTTTTCATGTGAGGGAGTTTAGGAAGAAAAGGTTTTGAAAGCTTGAAACACAAACAACAAGAGAGAGAGAGAGAATCTCTTCTTCTTTGGTTTGGTTTTTCTTTTTGTATATTTTCAATAGTGGTTTGGAAGATGATCATGTTTGAATATAGCATAAGATAGTGTTTGTTTGATGGTGACTTGCACTAATAGGTGGTTTTGGGGACCTACTATGTGCTTGAGTATTTTTTAACATGAATTATTAGTAATTTATTAAAAAAAAGAAGCCTAAATTACCCTTCTCTTAATTATGGATAGGGAAAGTCTTGTGTTTTGTGGAAGTGTTAAGATATGTACAAAAGAAGCAATTTGCATTTATTTTGGGTGTTTTATATATTTGATTTGCAGTTTGAGAAGCATGATACTTCTTCCATTTATGAAAATCCATGAGGTTATGTTTTTTTATGATGTTTGCTTTGTCTTTTTAGACTGTGTGAGAGCTGAGCCAGTGATTCTCAAGAAGCTAGAGGCTTCACCTAATGGTATTGCTTGCGGAATTTTTCTTATATTTTTTTTTAAGGTTTTCTGTTTTAGTAAATGTATTTGCACTCATTTTCTAATTCTTCATTGCCATATACAGAGAAGACAAGTCCTGGTTTGATATCAGTAGACCTTCTTACTGACACTATAGAAGGTACGGTTTCTTTTGAAGTTTTCTTTGCAACTCATTTGTCGATGTATTCTATTTTGATTTTGAATTTCATTTCATCTTTCAGGGGGAAGGAAACCTTCAGTTGCTGCTATTGATGGTCTTGCCCTGGGTGGAGGGTTAGAGCTTGCGTGGTTTTGAGAATAAAGTTTTGGTATTGCTTCTCAATCGTCTTCCATCTTTGCTGCTGCTTTTTGCTGTTTTGCTATTTGAATTGAATCTACTCACATCTTCGTCTAAGGTGATTTTCATTATTTTATTATTATGCCTTACAGTGTAGCTTTTTTGGTGAATACAAATGCTTTTTTTTTTATATCAATTTTCATAGCCATGTTTCTTTCAAAAGATTTCTTGTACTATGTCTCATATGAATCCTCTCCGATTCTCTAAGACTATTTTTGGAGCCAATCTAATAAGCTTAACAGTTATGATCTTGCAATAAGTTTAAAGTTTTCTATTGTAAATGTTCCATGAAATTTGGATATCCAAAATAATATTGTTAAAGTTAAAAGTGGGTAGGGTCCAATTTTGTGTAAACAACTGTATAAGTAAGGCTATGACTTATTTATCAATCAATGTAAAACTCAGTATACCTGGTAACTATTCATCAGTAAGATTTGTGATTTTATTTTTCAATGAAAATATGAAAAATATATAATTTTCTCTTACACATATGATATAGACCTCTAGTTATATTTATTAGGATTAGTTCAGTTCATTAAGATTTATTATTTTATTTATTTTTAGTTAGTATTTTTTGAATTTTTAAATTTGAATGTCCTATTTTTAAGAAAAGATTTAGGTTAAAACATAAGCTACCTATTAACTAGTAATTTTAGGAGAAACCAATCACAAACTCCGCCACTGCCGCCTGCATAGGTCTTAAGAACATATTTTCAGTTGGTTACAATACTTCCTTCCTACCACTTCATCAACAAAGGTCATGGCTACGGAATATCCTGAACATGCTCAGGATATTCCGTAGCCATGACCTTTGTTGATGAAGTGGTAGGAAGGAAGTATTGTAACCAACTGAAAATATGTTCTTAAGACCTATGCAGGCGGCAGTGGCGGAGTTTGTGATTGGTTTCTCCTAAAATTACTAGTTAATAGGTAGCTTATGTTTTAACTTAAATCTTTTCTTAAATATAGGACATTCAAATTTAAAAATTCAAAAAATACTAACTAAAAATAAATAAAATAATAAATCTTAATGAACTGAACTAATCCTAATAAATATAACTAGAGGTCTATATCATAATGTCTTGCAACAGTGGTTTAAAATTATTATGCCTTACAATGTCTCTAATATTGCTCTTTAGATATTGTTTAACATCCAGCATATGGCTTAGTAGTAGTAAGCTTAGATGCTGAGTTTCTTACAATTTTAATTTCATATATTTATCTATCGTTAAGTGAGGTACTTACTAACTTTGTGAATTGAATTCGCCATAGGGGTTACTTGTGAAGAGTGAAAGTTTGACCGTTTTTGTTTAGCTTAATTAAGACATGGATAAGACATGGATGAATTCAAACCGATTGTCGAAAGAGTACGAGAAAGGGGTATGGGAATTTGTTGAGTTTGCGGTTGCGCACTCCAAAGACCCGCTTCGAATGCCGTGTCCTTGCTTGGGTTGCTGTTATGCCGGGGGTAAGGTTGACGGGAATCAGTTGGGATCTCATTTACTACGGTTTGGAATTGATAGAAGTTATACATGTTGGACAATGCATGGTGAGAAAAGTACCGGGAATGCTGAGTCGAGTTGTAATAGGAAGTATGCTTCAAACGACGATTGCACAGACACATACGATTGTGATCGAGTCGAAGAGATTGCAGAAGCGCTTGAAGAAGATCTTGCGGATTGTCCCAAAATGTTTGAGAGGTTGGTAAGCGATGCAGAGAAACCGTTGTATGTTGGTTGTTCAAAATTCACAAGATTGTCTGCGGTGTTAAAGTTGTACAACTTAAAGGCGGACAATGGATGGTCGGATAAAAGTTTCACAGAGTTATTAGCCCTTATGAAAGATATGCTACCAGAGGATAATGTTCTTCCCAATCGAACGTATGAAGCCAAAAAGATGTTGTCTTCTATTGGAATGAGCTATGATAAGATACATGCATGTCCAAACGATTGCGTTTTGTTTCGAAACGAGTATGCAGCGTTGAATGAGTGTCCTAAATGTGGTGCCCCTCGATATAAGAAAAAGTTGTCTCCTGCTAAAGTCTTATGGTATTTTCCTATAATTCCGAGATTTAGACGCATGTATCGTAGTGAGACCGATTCAAGACACTTGACTTGGCATGCAGATGAAAGAATTATTGATGGAAAGTTGCGACATCCGGCAGACTCACCACAATGGAGTAAAGTTGATACTGAATATCCTGAATTTGGAAAAGAAGCAAGAAACCTTCGGTTGTCATTGTCTACTGATGGAATGAACCCGCATGGTATTCAAAGTATCTCGCATAGCACATGGCCTGTGATTCTTATGATTTATAACTTACCTCCGTGGCTATGTATGAAGCGTAAGTACATGATGTTATCTATGCTAATTTCTGGGCCTAAACAACCAGGGAATGACATAGACGTATACTTGGCACCCTTAATCGAAGATTTAAAGTTTTTGTGGGAGAGAGGTGTGGAGGTTTACGATGGGTATAGGAAAGAAAGTTTCAACTTGAGGGCGATGTTGTTTGGAACAATTAATGATTTTCCAGCATACGGAAATCTATCCGGGTACAGCAACAAGGGTCAAAAGGCGTGTCCTGTTTGTGAAGATGAAACCGATACGACACGATTGGCGCTTTGTCAGAAGAATGTCTTTCTCGGCCATCGTAGATTCTTAAATTCTAATCATCACTACCGTGGGTGGAGAAAAGCATTCAATGGAGAGGCCGAACATCGTACAGCCCCGCCTTTTTTGTCAGGTGATCAAATTTTTGAAAAGGTGAAAGATGTGAGCACTCAGTTTGGCAAGCCTTTTGCACATTCAATTGTCAAGGGTGGGTGGAAGAAGAAGTCAATTTTCTTTGAACTTCCATATTGGAAGTCGTTGTACGTAAGACATTTCCTGGATGTTATGCATATTGAAAAAAATGTATTTGACAGCGTTATAGGTACGCTACTCAATATACAAGGAAAGTCTAAGGATGGCGTTAACATAAGGAATGACATGGTAAACATGGGGATGAGAACTGAATTGGGGCCCGTGACGAAAGGAAGACGAACATATCTGCCACCTGCTGTTTACACTCTATCTAGAAAGGAGAAGAAAACATTGTGTAAGTTCCTCAGTGAAGTAAAAGTTCCAGAAGGCTACTCTTCAGATATTAGAAGACTTGTGTCCATGAAAGACCTCAAGTTAAAGAGTTTGAAGACGCATGATTGCCATGTTATAATGGAACATTTTTTACCAATAGGTATACGTTCTATTCTGCCAGAAAAAGTAAGAAGCGCAATAACTAAGCTGTGTTTCTTCTTCAGGTCTATTTGCAGTAAGGTGGTCGATCCCGCGATCTTACCAACATTGCAAAATGAGATAGTTGTTACTTTATGTGATCTTGAAATGTATTTTCCTCCCTCGTTTTTTGACATAATGGTTCATCTAGTCGTTCATCTTGTGAAAGAGACACAACTGTGCGGACCAGCTTATATGAGATGGATGTACCCTGCTGAACGTTATATGAAAATATTAAAAGGGTACGTGAAAAACAGAAGTCGACCAGAGGGTTGTATTGCCGAGCGATACGTTGCTGAAGAAGCGGTTGAGTTTTGTACTGAATATCTGTCAAATGTTCAATCAATTGGACTCCCCAAATCTCATATTGTCGAAAAAAAAGAAGGAAAAAGGCTAATTGGAAATAAAGTTGTGACAGTATCAATGGTCGAACGGGATCAAGTGCACTTGTATGTTCTGCACAATGAGATTGAGGTTGAGCCGTTTGTTGAAATGCACAAAGTTGTTCTCCGAGATTTAAATCCAAATAGAAATGAGAACTGGATAGTACGAGAGCACAATCGAAGTTTCATACCGTGGTTTAGAGATCATATTTATTCAAAGTATCGTTCAGATCCTGCTTCAGTAACAGAAAGGTTGAGATGTTTAGCCTATGGTCCATCTGTAATTGTGCTTTCTTATAGCGCATACGCAATTAATGGATACACATTTTATACCAAAGAACAGGATGATAAAAGTACTATGCAAAATAGTGGTGTTACCTTGGTAGCTGAAGCTATGCACATATCAAGTGCGAATGACTTAAATCCGAAATTT